CCCTCCCCCTCCCTCCCACTCTGCCCCCTCGCCTTGCCATTTTAATCGGGCTTCCTTGTTTTTCTCTCCCTGCACCCCGCTCTGCCCTGCTCCTCCCTCTCCCAAAGGTTTGCCTGTAGGTACCTGAGCTGACACTGACGGTGCCTAAAGATGCTGAGCAGCGTTTGGTTCCTCAGTGTGTTAACCGTGGCCGGGTTCTTACAGACAGAGAGTCGCAAAACTGCCAAAGACATTTGCAAGATCCGCTGCCTGTGTGAAGAGAAGGAAAACGTACTGAATATTAACTGCGAAAACAAAGGATTTACGACTGTCAGCCTGCTTCAGCCTCCCCAGTATCGAATCTACCAGCTTTTCCTCAATGGAAACCTCCTGACAAGATTGTACCCAAACGAGTTCGTCAATTACTCCAACGCAGTGACTCTCCACCTGGGTAACAACGGGCTGCAGGAGATCCGAACGGGGGCCTTCAGTGGCCTGAAAACACTCAAGAGACTCCACCTCAACAACAACAAGCTCGAGGTGCTGAGGGAGGACACGTTCCTGGGCCTGGAAAGCCTTGAGTACCTCCAGGCTGACTACAATTACATCAGCGCCATAGAGGCAGGGGCATTCAGCAAACTGAATAAGCTCAAAGTGCTCATCCTGAACGACAACCTGCTGCTCTCACTGCCCAGCAATGTGTTCCGGTTTGTCCTGCTGACCCACTTAGACCTGAGGGGAAATAGGCTGAAAGTAATGCCTTTCGCCGGTGTCCTTGAACATATCGGAGGGATCATGGAGATTCAGCTGGAGGAAAACCCATGGAACTGCACTTGTGACTTACTTCCTCTCAAGGCTTGGCTGGACACCATAACTGTTTTTGTGGGGGAGATTGTCTGTGAAACTCCCTTTAGATTGCATGGTAAAGATGTGACCCAACTAACCAGGCAAGACCTCTGTCCCAGAAAAAGTTCTGGTGACTCAGGTCAGAGGGGCAGCCATGCTGACACACACAGCCAAAGGCTGTCGCCTACAATGAATCCTGCTCTTAACCCAACCAGGGCTCCAAAATCCAGCCGACCACCCAAAATGAGAAATCGTCCAACTCCCCGGGTCAGTGTGTCGAAGGACCGGCAGAGCTTTGGCCCGATCATGGTATACCAGACCAAGTCCCCCGTCCCCCTCACCTGCCCCAGTAGCTGTGTGTGCACCTCTCAGAGCTCAGACAATGGTTTAAATGTAAACTGCCAAGAAAGGAAGTTCACTAATATATCCGACCTGCAGCCCAAACCTACCAGTCCAAAGAAACTCTACCTGACAGGGAACTATCTTCAAACTGTCTATAAGAACGACCTCTTAGATTATAGTTCTTTGGATTTGTTACATTTAGGAAACAACAGGATTGCAGTCATTCAGGAAGGTGCCTTCACAAACCTGACCAGTTTACGGAGACTTTATCTGAATGGCAATTACCTTGAAGTGCTGTATCCTTCTATGTTTGATGGACTGCACAGCTTGCAGTATCTCTATTTAGAGTATAATGTCATTAAGGAAATTAAGCCGCTCACCTTCGATGCTTTGATTAACCTACAGCTACTGTTTCTGAATAACAACCTGCTGAGGTCCTTACCCGATAACATATTTGGGGGCACGGCCCTCACCAGGCTGAATCTGAGAAACAACCATTTTTCTCACCTGCCTGTGAAAGGGGTTCTGGATCAGCTTCCAGCCTTTATCCAGATAGATCTGCAAGAGAACCCGTGGGACTGCACCTGTGACATCATGGGGCTAAAGGACTGGACAGAACATGCCAGTTCCCCTGTCATCATCAATGAGGTGACCTGTGAGTCTCCTGCTAAGCACGCAGGGGAGATCCTGAAGTTTCTGGGGAGGGATGCTATCTGTCCAGACAGTCCAAACTTGTCCGACGGAACCATTCTGTCAATGAATCATAACACAAACACACCTCGTTCGCTTAGTGTGTCTCCCAGTTCCTATCCTGAGCTACACACCGAAGTCCCACTTTCTGTCTTAATTTTAGGATTGCTTGTGGTCTTTATTTTATCTGTTTGTTTTGGGGCTGGTTTATTCGTCTTTGTCCTGAAACGCCGAAAGGGGGTGCCAAGTGTTCCCAGGAGTGCCAACAACTTAGACGTGAGCTCCTTTCAGTTACAGTATGGGTCTTACAACGGCGAGACTCAGGATAAAACGGATGGCCACGTCTATAACTACATCCCCCCGCCCGTGGGGCAGATGTGCCAAAACCCCATCTACATGCAGAAGGAAGGGGACCCGGTGGCCTATTACCGAAACCTGCAGGAATTCAGCTACAGCAGCCTGGAGGAGAAAAAGGACGAGCCGGCCACTGTGGCTTACACTATAAGCGCCGGCGAGCTGCGGGAGAAGCAGGCCGCGCCCAGGGAGCCCGAGCTGCTGTACCAGAACCTGGCCGAGCGCGCCAAGGAGCTGCCCAGCGCGGGCCTGGTCCACTACAACTTTTGCACCCTACCGAAGAGGCACTTCGCCCCTTCCTACGAATCTCGACGCCAAAACCAAGACAGAATCAATAAAACCGTTTTGTACGGAACTCCCAGGAAATGCTTTGTGGGGCAGTCAAAACCCGACCACCCTTTACTGCAAGCTAAGCCGCAATCGGAACCGGACTACCTCGAAGTTCTGGAAAAACAAACTGCGATCAGTCAGCTGTGAAGGCAAATCATGGGCAACCCCGGGGCATCAAAGGGACGCCGCTGCGAACTGTCTTCCTGTTTGTTTGTGCTCTCACTCGCCCAGCGTCGGTGGGGGACTTTGGAAATGTTTGGGGGATGGGGCGAAGCAATGGTACTGCTTTTTCAAGCTTTCTTTTAAATTATTTCCCTCTTGCTCCCCCCGCCTCTTTTTCCTTCTCTCGTTAAGCATCATCATGGAACGCGAATGTTTCTACAATGCAGTTTTTCATGTACTTTGTTTATGGTTTTGTTTCTCTTTTAGTTTTCCAGTGGGGGATGGGAAAAGGAGATGATAGTGAATGAAGAAAGAGTAAGCAAACTTTTCAAGTGAAAATGGCTATTGAGTGTATTTTGTAGAAGATCTCCAAAGATCTTTTGAGACTATAAATTCTTTTGTAAATAATGATATATGGTATTTCCATCTTCAGTTACCAAGTATAGCCAATAGGCATCTCTCCTTTGTGTTAAAGTGCCTTTGCACTTTAAGTACATTACTTAAATGTTGCTTTTAGCTTTGATAAATTGAACATATTTTAATGTGTTGTATTTTTGAAATTAAAACACTGTAAAATAGATCGAAATGTCAGCTATATTAAGTCAACGTACAGTTTGCTTGAGTTATAGAAACCAGCCTGTCATCAAATGATTCTAGTTCTAGGACTTTATAGATTTAACTGTAAAATATTTCCTTTCTGCTGGGTTTGTTCTAAGTGGTTTTATTTAAGTCAACTAAGGGGATTTAACAGTGGACTAGAGGTAATAAAACACCTCAGTCGGGATTAGTAATTCATTAATAAAATATATTTAACCCAATATCAGAGTGAATCGAACAATTAATGCCCTTCTGTAAATCATTATTTTACACTAACATGATCAATGTTTTAGATTATTTTCCTAATTAAGAGTACATTACACAACTTGTAATATATTTTTTCTGCATTAAATTAGATATTTTTATATATTTAAATTATAGAGTCTGTATTTCTAACTTTTCCATTGAAATTAATATTTTTTCTGTCTATTGAAACATTTTCTATAAACACACACCAGTAGAGGCCGCCACACACCTCATTTAATAAAGACATATAGCCATTAAATACCTTGAAGGAGGACTTCAAAGGTGAGGTTAAAACTTCCCAAGTAAATTCTCTGCAAATTCAAGGCAGCAGAGGCAAATGTATACATTACTTTCTTGTAGGATTAAAAGTTAGGCTCAGAATTCTCAATTTTCACGTGTTCAGAGAAAGCGTTTTCCTCTTGAGTTCATTGACGCGTCAAGGGGTGCTACCAAGTCGTACTATTTGCGCCTCCAAATTGATTCATAAGTACATAAACCAAGAAAGTAAGCCTCTTTTTTTCTCCTGCCTTCTTTAGCTATGTGTTACTTGAATATTTCCTTGTCACTTTGAGCAAGCCTTTTGTTTAAGCATTAAAATGATTTTTAACCTAACCAAGTTTATATAACATTTATGAAGCCTTATTAGCCTGTAAATAATTTTAGATGCAAACATTATTGTGTGATTTAAACAAACAGCCCTTCTTTACAACAAAAATAGTTTTGTTTTGTCTATTGTAAATCCTTATGCAACTGGGATAGTGATCTGCATATAAAGTAGTCCAGCTTTTCAAATCCTTATTAAAGCAATTGATGGCGTCTGAAAGAAGCACACTGTTTCCTTTTCATAAATAGGTTACTGCACATAATAATCCTTTATTATCCAGTGAAGATTGAAGTGGATCCTGATAACTTACTTTTAAGGCTTTAAAATGACTAATAGTATATTGTCTGTCACTATAAACAATTCATGTGATAGGCTCTCAATTAGAAATTACTTAAATCCAAATTATTTGGATTAATAATGACAGATGCAAAATAGTTTTTTAAACAATAGGAGGTAATTGTGTGTATATAAATGTAAAGGAAATTCAGGGAAAAGAATGCCTCTAACAACCTAGAATCTCTAAGTATCTACCGTGTCAAGGTAACATGTTCATTCTTTGATTAGAGATCACAATTCCTATTTAAATCTGTTAGATCAAAATTGAAAATGGACTGAAATGACCTATGGGAAAGTTAATGTACAGAAATGTTACATTTCACAGAAAAGGAGCTAGAGGATTATACTAGTTGAACTTGGAGATATCTCCTGGAAACCACTCTTCTTTGAGTGGAGTATTTATATATAAAAGAGTTGAAAAAATCCTCTTGTCACTGCTTTCATTTGGTGCAATGATAAATACAGAATACAGATGTAGGTTTTTTGGGAAATGATTATGAAGACAAATTAGTATATGTATTCTATTAAGATAGATTTTAGGTTTACATTTTTATGACTCGAACTACCAACGTATGATTCTACTTCAGTGTTTGTTTTTATTCTCCTCAAAGTAAAGTCATTCCTGTAAAATGCCATTATCCATAGAAAAACAAATTCATTAATTTTAAATAAAGATAGTTTAATATTCAGTCACACGATTTAAAAAGGCCTCCTGGAAGAACTCAGATTTATAAACGCTCTTGCTTAATAATTATCATCTTTTTAGATCTGTGCTTTATTTGTAGTAGGTTTTAAAATGAAATCATTTGAATTTGGCCCAGACTATTTCACTTAAAGGCATAATACACCATATACTTTGAAGCTTTATTTTCTAATGTAATCACAAACACTTTGTTTATTAATTTATTAACATGCCCACTGATTATATTGCTTTGCTTTATGCACCCAAGTGCTGTCGAACATATTTTACTTTAGGATTTTGATTTTTATCTCCTACAGCTGGATTTTGCTATTTCGTTTTTATTTCACGTGCAGCTTGTAATGGGTTTGAGCGTCAGCTCAGCAAAATGGTTCCAAGAAACAGGACGCGGTCTCCTCTGGCCCTGCCTAGAGCTGATCTATGTGTCTGGCCCTGCAGATGGCACATGGTAATTCTCTATGATTCTAGCTCTTAATTAGTTGCTTTCACTGTTTCTGAATATACCTGTGGTTAAGTTTGTATTCAAACACTTGAAAGTACCATTCCTCAGTCTGGACACAATTGCCAAGAGTCTAACTTGGTTCTGGACTTTGGTGAACCTGTGTGCCTTGTTAGTTCACTCCCGCAGTTGGTGAGTAAGGAAATGACCCTTCAAATTCCTCTGCTTTGTCCTCTGACCTCTAAGATGATTTAATTTTCTAAGTATTTCCATGTCATCAAGGACTCTCTATTTTATGGATTTTACTACAGTATATAAGGAACGAAAGAGAGTTCTGTGATTTTTCAGATTCTGGAAATTAATTTTGATTGTAAACATTCCAGACACATACAGGATTGCATGCTAGAGTGAAGGAAGCCTTCCAGACAGTTCTCCAAATCCAGCAATTTATTCATTCATTCAATGAATATTTATTGAGGGCTTGCTTCTTGGGTCCCAGGCTCTATACTGCTTGCTGAGGGGCACAGAGGTACAGTCGACAGGATCTCTGGCCCACCCCATCCCCCCATCTCTGGCAGTGAGTGTAGTGCTGATAAAGGACATGAATGACAGTCACCCAGATTAAACAGTGGGAACAGTAATGAAATGCAGGAAGTTGCATTTTTCAAAGGTGATTCTGTGCAATGAAGTATAAATGGATATATCATAAACTAGCTACACTGTAACCACCATTAACATCTCTTTGCAGTTACACAGCTAAAAAGGAAAAACCCCACTAAAATAAAATAACAAATTTCTGCAAGACACAGCCCAATATTATGGCCTGAAAATGGCTACATACATGTGCTATCTAAAGATCTCCATTGTAAAGATGAGTCCCAAAAATGTAAATACAAAATCACAAACCTACTTAAATTTTCTGGAATATCCACGTTTTAGAGTCAATATTTACTTTATATATCAGTGAGCTTAGAAGATAACATTTTGGCTTAAGTGTCTTTTACTAATACAATGACAAGGCACTTAAGTTCTGAGAGGAAAAGTAAGTACTGTATATAGGTGTACTTTGCTTCTCACTATGGCTGTGAAAAAGTTATGTGTAAATTGAAGTTCTGTAAATTGAATTGTATTTTAAATGTGTTAGGAGAGCTGCCATTTAGAGGAAACTTGTAAATTTTTTTATAAAGCAGAAAACCATTTTATACTACAAATAATCACTCCCTAGTTTCTGTTTTGTATATTTGATTTTCAATATCAACTTTGCTTAAAACAGAGCCCACCTGCACAATAAGAGTGTGTTTCGCCAGTGCAGCTTGTGCTGCCAGTTTCTTGGTTGCTAAGGGCTTATACTTGAAAATCTGCTGCAGTTTTGTGTGAATTGAGCTGTCAAGCGATTCTGTGATGGCACAGGGACGTTCCTGGACAGGCTGAGTAGCCAACCCATTTCAACTCAATTGAACACAGAACTCTTCTGCTCAGCAGCATCTCCTCCCAGATGTGGCCGTGATTCAGCAGAGGGTAGAGTGACTCCTGTATTCACATCCTATAAAGTGCATAGGGTCACAGGTTTTATAATGCATATATGTTATTATGTAAACACATTAAATTGCATGTGTGTTGGAATTTTTAGCAGTATTTTAGCTTGAAAGTACTTGTGCAAATACTGTTAGATTTAGTTGCAAATAATTGTTCTCAAGTTATTGGAATAAATGGCAAATGAAACAAGCTCTCGTGTAAATACTTCTGTGCCAAATATTGACATTGTTTCAAAGATAAATGTCATATTTTGGGCTTTTAATAGGCAAACTGTAATATTGGAAATGTGATCAAATGATATTGTATTTTATTGGATAAACTGTTTACATCATTATTTTATACTGTAGTTAGCTTTTAGTTAATAAACATTCACTAAAAATAAACATTTGAATTAGAAAAATTCTTCAGAATCTTAAGAGGAATTAATGACAAAGTATTACTGGAACCATCCTCTTGGCCTTGATATATACTGTTCAAATGTTTACAAGTTAAGGTCATAATTTATATATTAAGGGTAAAATGAGCTGTTTTAAAAAACATATTGATATTTTTCCATGAATGTCCATTAGTATCAGATTTTAAAAAATTAACAAAAGCAATTCAATTAGAGATATCTCCCTAGGAACACTCACCCACACCACAACCAACTGCTTTTCATCATAAAGGTATAATACTATATATGATTTAATAAATTTATATTTTATAAAATAAGAGACAGATTTACATGCAAATCCAAGGGATAGAAATTTTAAATTCATTAATGGAAATGATATCACTATATTCCCAAAGTCTAGATAGAGTTAAAACAAACGAGACTCAGGGAATGGGAATGAATTTGTTGCTGTTATTGTGGTGATATTACACCAAAGTGACTTCTTTGGTGATTTGAATCTGGTTGAACAGAAGAATATATCTGCCAGGTATGCTCCATTCACAAATGTATAACATAAACAAAGGATTTGAGATTCCTGTGGTGGATGTGAGGACTTAAAACAGATTATCCTCTCTTGAGATTATTAACTTGCTATATGCACAATATATTCAGTTTATTCATGTAGCCTTCACAGGGTAGCTGAAACATTTGGAATAGCCTCATTTTAAAGTGTTTTGTTGAGGTATGAGAGTTGGTGCTTAGTACAGTAGATTATCTGATCCTTTAAAAAGATTAGTTGAAATGGAATGGGAATGAAAGTAATGTACAACTCTCCATTCTGAACATATATAATATAAAACATCAGCAAGTCATATGTGATTTTTTATACTGGCAAAAGACCATCAAAATAAATGTCATTCCTGAATGACTAGAAATGCACCTGATCCATGTTTCCCTGGGAAACTGCTTTGTAATTAGTTAAACATCATTTTTATTAATTCGATTTTCAAATATTTTTTATGTTTACTGTCAACTTTACCTTAAAAGAGAACATTTGAGCTAATTATCTGTCAGATCCAGTTACCTGGCATTTTGGGGCATATTTGATCTTGACAGAATGTTGGCTACAAGTTGTATGTCAGGTACTTTCTGGATCACAAAATGACAGTTGGGAAGACAGGATAGGTGAAGGGAGTCTGTCTGGGTAATCCTTGGCCATGGTCCGTCCTTCTCAAACCCCTTTCACCTTCACATCATCAACACCTGACATAGTGTTTTGTTTTGGAACATAACTCTCTCATAAATATTTCCTTAATGAATAAATGAATAAAACTCTGGCTCTCATGTGAACATGAAAGGGTTAAAAACTGGAGGATGTAAGTTCAAAGCATAATTACAATTGATTCTTAGCTGTTCCAGGAACCCTTAAAAAATATTTAGTTGAAACATTTCAGAACTTATGAGAAACACACACACACACACACACACCCCATAAGGATGGAAAAGAAATTATGGTAACACACAGCCAAGACCCAAAGTTTATTACATGCAGGCGGGCTCAGTTTTAAGTGCTACTTTAGTCTGTCTATTGAACCCAATGATCTCATTCTAGAGTTAAAAGTAGCTTCACTGTTCAGCTGTGAGATTGCCTTGTTATTGACTTTTGGAATTGGGAGATTCTGAGTTGAGGGAAAATGCACTCCCTGACAAGCTCTGTGTATTTATTGGTCCCTTCGAGTCTTCTAGATAGGAGAAATTTTTTGGGCTCAAAACTATATTAAATTATATTTCTGTCAGAACATGGTTGTCTCTTAAGTTCTAATTTATACAAAATAAGAACCTACAGGTGGTGTTTCATAATGAAGAGTCCTGAGATCTGGGGTTCTGATCTTCAGGCAGCTAAAAAGCTGTGAGGAGATGTCACAGTTCTCTTTGGGTCTCAGTTTCCCCATCTGGGAGTAGCATTGGACTGGATGGACTCAACGGACAGATCCAACCTTAGTACTCTATGTTTCTTGGCTATTTGGGGAGTTGTCGATACACACAAAACAGGGCATTGAGAATTATTCAGATGATCAAGCCTGAAAATATCTAACGCCTCTTCTTTCAGTTGTCTAATTTGGACTTAGCTTTACTGTGATTTTATTTTTGTGGGATTAAAATACACCATTTGTCTTGGATTAATTTGTCTTCCTAGACTTGACTTTAAATGTTTAAACCAATTTTCTTACTTCTTTGTAAATCACAACATTCTACTGCTTCTTTTGGTGGTGGGGGTGGGGTAGCAGGGGAGGTGATAGCTTTTTCACTTAGCTGTTTTGCAGGGGAGTTGTGTATGGGGTTGATAAGTTTAATTATTCTGTGTGATAAGAAAGTTTAATGATGAATCTAAAAAGATCACATTATCACATTTCAGGGCACAGACCAGTTTGCCCATTCAGTTGTTAATTATACCACCCTCTTAAGCAACACTGTCAAGTTTCTTATCATCACAGAAGCTGATGGACCCTTGAACAATTCAGCTGAGCTTCAGAAAATCAATGATTTATTCTAGTGAGCAAAGCTGTTCACTGACAAGTGGTGTTTGGCCTCTTCCTGATCATAAACTTCAGCCCTTGTTTTATTGCTGGGCCGGCGTGTCTCTGGCCCAGCAATAAATGTATCTGGTCAAATACATTTTTAACTGGAAACAAGCAAAGAAATAAAGTCCTCAATCTCGTAATATTCAGCTGACATGGTCTTTGCAAGAATGAAAAAGGGGGAAAAATCCATTCAAAGTCTTCTGCTTTGCAGAGGTTTCTGAGGGGCTTTTAAAAAGCATTATTGAATGAAAGGAACATGCAGCTGTGCTTTGCTGTGTTGTTTCTTCTGTCATGTTCCAGAAGGCTGTGAAAAAGGTTATCCTTGTCCAAGCCATCACCTTAAAAAATAAATAATTAAGATGGCATTGAGATGCTAAAGACTTACAGTATGATTAAATTTCAAATGTTTAAGTTGAGGTTTGGGAACAAAATATATTTTAGTTACTAAATTGATCTCTGCAAAGGGAGTACTTTTTAAGCAATAATCTAGGTAATATGAAAGAGGGGCTTGTTGAAGGAATCTCATTACTTTTAGATTTTTTTGGTGCAAATTAATCAGAAAGTTTTTCAGTTCTACTATGCAAACAGTTCAAATGTTCGGAAAATGTAAAAATAACTGATTTTTTCCCGTTTTTACAAGTTAAAATGGGGAAGGCTCTTCCTGTGTTGATAAAGTTGGTTGTTTCTAAGTTGGAATTTCTGTGGTGTTTTTCTCCAAAACAAAATCAAATATCCAAGGATGGATATTTGTACAAACACAAGGTATAGTCTTAGAAAGAGAGGGGTGAGTATCTACTTTCCTGAATGATTTCTAACAGAGGGCCAGGAAATAGGTAGTTTCACAAAATCCTTTGCCTTGCCTCTCGAAGGGAAATCTTTTCCAAGTTTTGATGCCTGACCCGGACACAAACATTTTCCTACATGAGTAAGGCTTTGGATTTCGCTGGGTTCTGTTTGACCTGGGCATTGGGTCACACTGATTCCTTCAGATTCGCTGACTGAGGTGGCTCAGAGGACAAGGGGCCCGAAGCTTTAGCCTCCATGCGTCTCCCAACTCACCATGTGGTATCGACCCACTTCTTTCTTGTCCCTGAGCCTCAGTTTCCTCATCTGAAAAAAAAAGCAGCTACACTTAGTCTTGCCAGTCAAGAAAGTGATTGAATACAAATGAGTTTATTACTGGGGAAACCTGGAATCCATTTCAATTCACAAAAAAAGTAAATCATTCACAAACTTGACACGTAACTATCATTAATAACAAATTATTTTCCACAAACCGCACACCTGTTGTGTGACACACCAGTGAAAACATTTGGATTAGAAGTTCTATTTTTCCTTTCAGTTTAAAAAAACAGTGTCATGCCGTTCTTTCCCTCATCTTTATTCTAGCTCCTAAACATTTTAATTGTATCAATCCATTTACACAAAGAGTATGAGTAATTTCTGGTAGTCTTTATGTGGTAACAGGTTGTCTCTAAAAATACAGCTTATGAAGTGCTCATTGTGTGCACATCTAAAATCCACAAGTGTTCCTGAAGGCCCAGCCTGTGCCCAGCACTGGGACGAGACTCTGGGGAGAAATGGGAACACGGCCCTTAGGAAATGCATAACGAAGTTGGGAAGGCGAGCTACTTTATCCATGAAAAGGGTATGAGTGGTCAGGGTCAGGAAATAAAAAGATCAGTGCAGACTAGACTGGCATCATCTGAAAAGTCTGCTTGGAGGAGGCAGGCCACAAAAAGAGCCTTGAATTAGGAAAAGGCTTGGGGAATCATCAAGCTTGAAAATGGAAAGACAGAAATAAGCCTGTGAAAAACAGGCATTCTGGAACCAGCATGTGGAGATTTGAAACCCAGCTTTGCCAGTTACCAACAGAGTGACCTTGGGCAAGTCACTTAACCTCTCCGAGCCTCAGTTTCCTCATCTGAAACAAGGTGACAAGGATCATATTCGCCCTCACAGGGTAGTTATGAGCATCGATGAGTTAATATTTGCAAAATAAAATGCACTTGTTAAATAGAACAAAAAGTGGCAAAGGTGTTTGAAACCATTTCTGACTGACTTTGAACCCATGTACTGAACCCATCACTAGACCTCACTGGGTAAACAGAGAAGCCATGAATCCTCCAGTATAAAGAGTGATCTGAGCATTTGGGCAGGGAGGATACTGGGATCCAGGAACCTTCTCTGGTGATTCAGGTTTAAGGAAATGATTAGGAAAATGGAGAGAAAATGAAGCCAAGAAACCCTGCTCTTGTGTTCAACCACAGACTATTCAAAAGCTGGGAATACAAATTGATCAAAAGAGCCATATTTAGTAACATCCATCTTTTATCATCAGCAGATTCTTAGTTTAAGAATATTTGTATTCTCTAAGGGAAAAGCGTAAGTCAAAATGGGTAAAGAGAAAAAAAGGAGTTTTCCTCCCGGATTCTGAAGGGAGAGAA